GCAAACCCCACACCAAAAATAGTGCCGACACACTTGCATGTGTTTTTCTTGTTTTTTCTGTGTTTTATCTGGAATTTCACGATAAAACATAGGCTCATTAAGGACCCTAAAATTTTAATTTTCTACAAAATCTTAAATAAAATATTCAAGATAATTAAAATTTAGAATTAAAATATTCACGATTTAAAAATTACAACATTTACTTTTTTGCATATATTAATAGGGCCTCCACAATACTTAGGATCATTCTAGATAATTGCATGCATGTTTGCATGTCCCGAGAAGGAGTCCCCATACTTTTCCAACCTGACTGGCCCAACATTCCTTCATGTAGGTGGTTATCTAGTGCGCCTAGGGTGTTAGAAGGATCCCCGACCCAGACGGGGTGTAAGTCATTTTATTGGAGTATTTACAACTTTGTAGCCGAACCTCCGCTTTCTCTTCTTTTCAGGGACCTCCGCTTTCTCTCGGAGGCATCCTTGTCATTTCAATTTCAGCAGGTATAAGTCTCACCTCTTGGAGCTTCAGTTTATAGTCATATGATAGAGTTTCCTTCCTTTGACCTTAGAGCTACCGAGGTTTCTTATGGAAGATGCAATTCACGGATTGCTGACCGAGGATCTCAGGTTGTGTTGGGTCGACTGCCTTCACGACCAGGTAGACTTAGGATCATAGTAGCTGTGTATGACGGGCCTATGGTCTTTTTTTGTTGAGCCCCTTTGAGCCCTATCGCTCCCTGACATCGTTGCTATCAAAATATCACCTTGACGACCCGATGCCAATGAGCCCGCGCCCATTTGGGATACAACGATTTGTCCTCTGCTCTTTGGCTCTGACGTGCTTTGACGTATTGGGATATCCCCGTCAAGATGATTCAGGTTTTTCTGTGGGCCCCATGTGTTAATGAGCTGCTACCCATTTCAGGATGTGAGAGACTCGCTCTTTGTTTGATTGCTTAGCGCGAGCTTTGAAGCATTGAGACTGTTTTCACACGAAATAACCTTCATTTGATTGCCTATACCCTAGGTTTATGATAATATGAAGTGAAACTCCTTTTATCGAGAGTATTCTTGGGTATCCCCCAAGATGTAATTAACCAGTAGGAACACGTTCCTCTGGGAGTGTTATTGACCCCATAACATGTACATACACCTGACTCTCTGGTTATGGGTAGTCTACGTAGATACTTCTTTCGCATATATTGGTTTAAGATTCCTCCACCCGATCTTGTTTGAGTGAACATTCTTAACCTATCATTGCGAGGTTTATCGCACGTATACTCTCCACGTTTTACTTTTCCTATTTTTTGTCACTTTGTCATATGTCCCTTCTTATTCGGTTCCTCTCCTCTTTAAATCATTTATATGATTCAGGAGGGAGATTTATTCGAATAGGGGAAGTATACGACGATTGACAAGCTGACGACTCCTTTTAAAAATAAAAAAGAGAAAAATGAACGGAAACAATTGTAGATCTAAAACAAATCACAAAAAAAAATATAAGAAATTCCACAATTTGAAAATAAAAAAAAGATTTTCGAGCCACAAAAAAAATTTAGAGCATGAAAATAAATAACAGTAACATAGTTATTTTTTACAAAATAATAAAAATGTTTAAAAAAAGGTAAATTATGATAAACATTACAAATAATATAGTCTTAAAAATTGCATTTACATTTTAAGAAAATTTTTATGCTTAAATAGCTTGATTTGCAATAAAATAGTTTACTTTTTAAAGTTTTTGAATAAATTTGTTAGAAAACTCGATTAAGGCTCAATGCACAAGAGCTTGATGTTCTAAATTCTCATTTGATAAGCTCAACAAGATTGACTCAGGCTCTGTTTGGGGCAGCTGTAGCTTATCCAGTTTTTGCTAATAAGTAGCTTATCCTGATAATCTGCTGATGACCAGCTGATCTGGACAAGCTATAATCTGCTGATGACCAGCTGAAATGGATAAGTTGTCTGGCTGTTTGGTTAGTGCGTCTGGAAAATTGACCATTTTGCCCCTGTTCTGAATAAGATGTGGTGCGCGCTTGTGTGGCGTGGGTGTTTTGTACATGTATTAAAAAAACATATGCTTTTGTATGAATAAATAAATAAACAGTAAAAATAACTAATTTCCAATCAACTCTATTCAATTTGCTGCAAGCTGAAAATCAAATTGATTTAAGCCAAACAAACTCATAATTGAATCAGCTTGAAATATGAGCAAATTTTGAAGGCAAGGAGATTCATTGTCAGGACAAGTAGAATGTGTCATCAGATGAGAAGAGAAAAAAAAGAGTATGTTTGGCCACTAGCTAGGTTTTACTTGGTGACATGTCTTCCCGTTCTCCGAGTCATAGATACGCCCTCCCTGTACTCGGATCCCAGGGTTCTTATAACGCTTGGCTGGGGGTGGCATAATATCCTTCTTGCTCTCGCTTTCCTCCATTTTCCGGCGGCGGCTGATTGGCGAAGTGGAGGGAACGACCATGGATGAGGGTGACGAGCTTTGTTGGATCCGACTGGAGGGTTAGCGCGAAGGGCAGGTGGTGTTCAGCAAAACTTCGGGATGGCAATCGGGATGGCGAACAAAACTTCGGGATGGCGATCTCGGGCAGAGCAGAGAGGAGAAGATGAGAAAACGAATAAAGGAGTGAAGATGAGAGGAGAGGAACGAGATTTTTTACCACTCTCGGGCGATTGGGAAGTGCTGAGGGACGAGCGCAGAGGGTCGTTCGAGAAGGGTAGACGAGTAAAGATTCGCGTGGAATACATTCGGAACGCTGATCGCGGGGTTATACCCGCGATCGCGTATCCGGTAATTTAGAGACGCAGTTTTGTGATAATCTCCATAAACGTGTAAAACAAACAGTGCGGCGGCGTTTTCAAAAATGTCGTCGCACTTATAAGCTTCCCCAAACGGGCCCTCAATCATATATGTTTATTTTCTCAAACAAACTACTTATGTAAAGTTTGTTAATCACAAGACGAGCAAATTTGAGTTGAAAAAATCATTAAATAAACCAAATTATGTTAACTACAAAGAAGTACTTGAATTAAGTTGGAGCGGAATTTGAATGAACTTTGAGGGGGTGTTTGGGATCACTTTTATCTTTTATTTTCATGTTTTTTTAGTTCTGTTATGTTCCTATTTTGATTTGAAATAGAATAAATTTGACGTGTTTTAAGTAACATATGATTATTTTTTAAAATACTAAAAAATAATTAAATGTAATTTTAAGTATTTTAAAAGATATGTTATTTTTTTAATATTTTTTTAGATAAATACATTTGAAGTTGACTACTTAAACCTTATTATTATTTTTAACACATTATTTAATGTGTAATGGCATAGTGGGGTTGGATGAATCTTACATTTGTACTTATCTATCCGCTCTGCGTTGCGCGCGTTTGATGTTACGGTTTGGTTTGGCAGATAAGCGGTGGTAATCACTTTTTGCGTGCTTTATGAAGAAAGAGAAGCTTATCTAAGATCGAAAGTTAATCAGTACAATAAAAGCTTAATTAAGGAGAAAAAGAGGAAGAGTGACATACAAGGAGGGGGACGTAGATCGGCGGAGGAGATGATGTCTTCGTCTTTCGAGACCTTCAGCAACGACGGAGAGATGAGGCGGCTAGGGTTTCGAGCCGCTCCTTCGACGATGAAAGCTACATGGGCTACGGGTCCTACTCCAACTTCGCCGGCGGCGAGCAATCGAATGAAACCACTGGGATTAGCGACTACCTTCCAGGCGGGAGCTTTGAAAATGCGGAGGAGATCCTCGTCGATCACGCAATCTCTCCGGAGCACTACAGCTTCAGATCCGATCCGCAGCCGCAGTATAATTCGGTTTCTTCGCCGTTCATGGAGCCTGAATCCAACGGGGTCGTCTATGGAGCTGAGGAGAATGGTGGGATCTTTGCATCCGATGGCCCTATTCTTCCGGAGCCGGAGGAGATGAGGGAAGAAGGGTTTCGGCTGCGGGAGTGGCGCCGGTGAGAAGCGTTTCTGTTACAGATCTGCTATTTTTTTTGCTTACATGTTAGGGATGTTGTTTGTAATGGTGCCGATTTTCTTTTCCCATCACGGTCAAATGAAGGCAGAATTCTATATGTTATGCTATGGATCTGAACATATTTTGGTTCTCTTATGACAACTTGTTTATGATGGTTGAAATTTTTTGTCGATCGGTTTAGATTTGAAGGTTTTCCCATTGCTGATATTTTGGATCGATTTATGTTGCATGATTTGCTTGGTGATTCTAAATTTTTCTTTCTTTTATGTTCTAGTGGAAATGACCGATTTTTACAATCTTAGATTGCAGATTTCATGAAATGGGCTTGTTTTGGATATATTTTTGCTTGCCTCGACTTTTTTGATCCATATGTCATAGTTCATCCATAGGGCATTTTTTATTTCTTATAATCATAGCATGCTATGTAATTTGTGAAACCGAGTTAACTAAACAACAACTGAAAATACAAATTTTATTACTAAAATCAAATAAGGAGTACAACCAACGCACAAAAATAGGAAATAATAACAGACGCGGCACATGAATTGAAATTAGGGTGAGGTCTAGGGGTGATTGTGATCGGCTTTGGAGGTGGTAAGTGATGGAGAGTCCTCGAATGAGGATATGGGGCAGTGGTGTGAGGCAGCAGCACTACAAAGAAGGTGATGGGTTGAGGTTTAGGGGAAGGCAGCAAGTATGGAGGGGCTGGACTGAAGAGTGGCAGCAAGCGGTCTTCGGGATGAAAACAGCAAAGAGGAGGGTTGGCAGCAAGGGATAACAGATTGGGAAGGGTGGAGAGGGGGTAGACGGCTGCAGGAAAACAGTTAAATGTCTGTATTCTGGGTGGCTGGAGCGAATATGGCGACATTGGTAGCGGAGGGAATGTTGTTGAAGAGTGAGAAGGTCGAGAATAATCACTACATCGGACGAGAATAGCCGGAGCACCACTCATTATCGGATAAAGCCCTTGAAGAAAAAACCTGGGCGTCAACTGGTGTCCTGTGAGAAAACAAGAAGAAAACTTAAAAATCTAGAACAAAGGAATCAAATATATAAGCTCTAGATAACTAGGATTTGGTCCCTCTATGGAATGAAGGCGCCTATACCTCGTGGAACAGCCGACTAGCTCTCCCAGGTTTGGATTGATTCGGTTCACAAATATCTGGGATACGAAAGATAATCCCGCCTCCTCTTCCGCCCATGTCACTTTGAACCGTGGAAAGTTTCAAGTAATTTTTTATGATTTGGCTGACAAGGTTACATTTCATATATTGGTATTTCTTAGATACTAGCAAAGTTTACCTATGCAATGCGCCATGAAGAAAAAACGATCAGCTCGCTTCATGATCTTTAAGACAATTTTTCTAGACTGCAAATTATAGCTGTAGGTGTCCTTTGCACAATTTTTGGCATGAGCAACACTACTAGAAGCCTAACAAGGCAAATGATTCTTCTATCATGGAATACTGAAAAGAAGTAGGGAGCAAATTAGAATTTGAATAACTTATAACTAAGTTATAATGCACTTAGGGTCTATTTGAAATGGCTGCGTTGTTTTGTGAAGGTGTTTGGAGAAAATAATTTTTTTAAAGTTGCAGTGAGGATTATTAATATTTTTTTCCAGAAATTAGAACAACTTTCTTACAACTATGATATTTAAAAAAATCGGGTTACAAAATGTAGCTTCTCACCTTAGAAATTTCTAAAAAATAGCATAAAAATAGTTTCCCAAATAGAACTATGGTGATGGTTTGAAATGCAATACAGGCGGAAAGTTGCCACAAATAGACCCAAATAAGCATAATCATTCTTGGCAAATCCTTCCCTCAACAACCATAGAAGAAGAAACTAATAGTAAGAGTAGAGCAGCAAAACCCATCTCTGAATTTCAAACTATGCAGAAAATAAGAAAAATATAAACGCATGAGCAGGTGGAAAATATTAAGAAAAAGGATGTAAGAGCAATGATAGCCATACAATTATAATTAACTACACTGCTGCCATAATTCTTTTCATATCCAATTACTTGCAGAGACACTGACTGTCTCCTCACCATTTCACGTTTCATGAAGCTGTGAAGGAGTATAATACCTGAGACCAGTGCATGTCATTTTTAGCAGAGAGCTGTAGCCATGCATATTTCAAGAAATCAAGGCATCAATTTCATAGAAAATTCTCAGGTTCGTTGAAGATTAAACTCAAAATTATAGTCTAAACTGATTGTGATTATCTATTTTGTCCCACATCAAACAGTAAATTGCATCCAGACTGTATGAGCTCATCTATAATTTTCTTAAGAAAATTATAGATTGTTGAGATTAAGTTATATATTGATAAAGGATTAAGGTATTTGCATACTTGGAGAAATACAACTTTCCTTTGACAACAAAATTTAGATCTTCCAAGAAAATCCTTACTTTTGACCTCCATGATGAACAATCCAGCTAAGGAATCATGATTGTCAGCTAAGGTGTAAAAGAATAAATACTATATTATTTTTCTTAGACAGCTTCCTATTTTTAGTCTCTTGTGTATTTAGTTAGGTTTCTTTTGGAATTTCTCGCATACATTTGAAACTGGAAAACATCTCTTTTACAAAATTGTAGACTTCTATATATTGACAATATATCAATGAAACAATCAAATCATTATTCTTTTGTATATGGAATCAGAGCCTTGATCCACTATGATTTCTCTGATTAGCCAATCTCATAGCTCAACAGCTTTGCAAAATCATTTATGGCCTCAATCAAATACAACTTATGCCTGGTATCTTGAGCTATGACAAATTCTAATCTATCATGGCTTTAACAATTTTCTTATTGTTTCACCCCTTCATCTTCAGCATTGGCAACACATTTTATAATTTTTTTAGTTTATGTTGATATCATCATCGTCATTTGAACACTGTGATTGTTTATTTGTTATGTAGGGTTTTGTCACTCTCCTTTTCCTACAAATTTCTATCAAGGATATTGGGCCACTCCACTGTTTTCTGATCGTGGTGGTCCGTTAACACCCACTATACCTCTTGCCATCTCACCACACTCCCACTTCACCCTAACTTTGTACTCAGTGATCTGACTATTCAATGGTATAATTAATTATTTATTTAATGATGTTAATTACGAACTAATTACTTCTTGTAAATACTTAATATTATGTTAGTATTTAGTAATGAGACTATGATAGTTCTTCCTACTAATTATTAAATTATTAGCCAGAATAATTGATTATTAAAGAATTGGTTAGGCAAATTAGAGATTGATCAGGATTTTAATTAGATTATTAGTATTTTGAAATATATATTAGATATTAATTATATCTTAAATGATGATAATTTAGATATTAATTATGGTTGTTCTGAGCATTTGATACTTCAGCACAATATATTTTTGTCATGCTATGATTGGGATTTAGATTATACTTGTGGTTTCCCTTAGGCTAGTCAAGGAAATATTTGTTTGGATCTGTGATCATAAATTAGGATCTGAGGCATGCGCAATAATAATTATTACTACTTAAATAAATCTTTTAGTTGGATGTGTTGTTCTTCTTACTTTAGGATTAAATTCTTTGATAAAGATAGTTGATAGTTTCTGACAGTTATCTTCATGAGTTAATGTACATGCTTTTTTATGAATATTTTCCATTGTTTTATAGGGTTGAGAATTTAGCTTAAAGATCATTAATCGTTTGAAAATTGATTTGAATTTTAGCTATGATCGAGATTAGATCGAAATAAACAATCTAAGTTATGAGCTAAAACTCTATCAAATTTTTTCTAACTGGTTTTGAGCTATATAAGAACCAGCTCAAATTGACTTGAGATCGGCTCGAATTATTTTTTATTTATAAAAATTATATATAATGCTAAATAAAATCAAATGTAACAAACTACGAGCCAATTTCAATTTGCAACAGATCCAAAAAAAACTCTTTCGACTCTGATCAAGTTCGATTCACTTTTGAGCCAAGCTAGCACTAAATCAAACATAACGAGCTACGAGCCGATTTCGTTCCGAACTCAATCCAGTCGAGCCGAATTTTTTCCGAGCCGGCTCGAAATCGGCTCTTTAACAGCCCTACTGTTTTATCACTTCATTTATTCTAATTTATTCGAGTTATGTTCTATTTATAATATTTTACCTATCTATCATCCATGCAGCCAGAATGCTATTCATCTAGAGGAGAAAGAAAGAAAAGAAAAGGAAATGAGAAATCAGATAATTGCAGAAGCTGAGGAATTCAAACATGCTTTCTATGAGAAGCGCCAACTGAATCGTGACTCAAACATGATCAACAATAGAGAAAAAGAGAAGGTAAAACTGGCTCCCTCTTCATCAGAAAGATAATGGAAGATTTATATGCACACCACTCAATTTCTATGTATTTGCATGTCTTACTCTCAACTTTAATTTTTACATACATACCACCTTACCTATGCATGAAAAAGAAGTATTTCACTGTTTAAAAGTTAAAACAGTGGTATTTTTTATGTGATATAAAAGATTTGGGTGGTATAAATATAAAAAGGCAAAGTTTATGTGCAGATATGTAAATACAGAGGAGTTGGGTGGCATGCACGTAGATGCCATACCACTCAATTTCTATCTAGGAAGATTTTCATACGTTCCACTTAGTTCCTATGTATTTACATATCTAACACGTATATTTTAATTTTTACGTACATGCCACCATACTTATGCATAAAAAAGTACACTTTACTTTTTTATAATTAAAATGATGGTATTTTTGCTATGATACGAAAGATTGGGGCGGTGTAAACGTGAAAGTGAAGTTTAGGTGTTATATGTGTAAATCCCCAGGAATTGAGTGTTATGTATGTAAATGACCCTTATATGTATTTACATATCTAACACCTAAATTTCACATTTTACTACATGCCACGCTACCCATTAATGAAAAGTTGCATTTCACTTCTTAAAAAGTTAATATGTTGGCATCCTTGATGTGATTCGAAAGATTTGCCTGTTATAAATGGAAAAAACAAAGCTTAGGGGTTGATATGTAAATACATAGGATTTGGGTGGTAATGTATCTAATAATGTAAATGCCCCCTTTTTGTCTTTTAATCTTGAGTTATGTGCCATCTTTGTGCCAGCAATTTTTGACGAACCAGGAAAAGTTCCACGCCGAAGCTGACAAGCAGTACTGGAAAGCCATTGCTGAGCTCATCCCCCACGAAGTGCCAAATATTGAGAAGAGAGGTAAGAAAGATCCGGAAAAGAAGCCATCCATCGCAGTAATTCATGGACCAAAGCCAGGAAAGCCCACCGATCTCTCCAGGCTGCGTCAGCTGCTTGCCAAACTGAAGCACACACCTCCACCGCACATGAAACCACCTCCTCCGCCGCCGGCAAAAGAACCGGCAAAGGACGCGGAAGCCGCCGCAAAAAAAGATGGAAAGAAAGCGACGACGCCAACGAAAGAAGCCACGTTGAAGAGTAGTGCTGCCGCCGCTAATTCCCCTGAGAAAGATGCTAATAATACTCAACCTTCAGCAGCCGCTGTAGAAACGGAAAAGGCAGCAGAACCAGAACCCGCGACAACTCAGTAATTGGACTGAGTTAACTTAGCCTGGAAATGCTTTTCCAGGTGATTCTATTTGCTTTATCTATATATCATTTCATGTTTTGTTTATTAATCTTTGTACTTCTTGTTATAATTGGCTTCAGACAAGGTGCTGATAACTGTTTCAGTTCAATATTCTTTCTACTCTTTTTGCATTGGCCTGTACGAACTGGTTTTATGAGAGCATTCTATATATTTTTTTTCATGGTAAAGAGTGTTGCATCATGTGGATTAGATTTTGTTTCTATCATAGAAATGCTATCATGAAATTATGTGTTCATATGATATTTTAGGGTTATTTGACTACAAGTAGGATTTAATTTGAGTAGGATTTGATACGCCACCAACAAATTTCCATCAACTAGCACGAATCTCAATGCAATTTTTTGAACAAGAAACATTCAAACTTCGATTAAGAGTCACCCGGAGCTCCGATTTCAGCAAAATTATAGTCAAACTGATCAGGTCGATGAGACGAACCTAATGATATAAAATTTAGTCCAATCCAAGTCAAATCAGGCTCAGATCAAGTCATTAAATCACTACTACTACGGGATTTCTGGAGGCATTTGAAAGGTCAAACAGATGTCAAATCTAGCGAGTTTATAGTTGAATCAAGCGTTTCGAAAAGACGAATCCAACGAGCCCAAGATTGCTCAATTCTAACATCGTTAAGGCACTCAAATGTCCATCAAACGTCATTTGATCAAGGGAAGCTTTCCAGGCCGTCCGATTAAAATGGTTCACAGTCATGCATTAATTGCACTCAAAACACTATAAATAGAGTCTCACCCCTCACATGAGAGGGATGAGACTTAAGAGAGAACTTGAGGTTTTGAGAAGGAGCTCAAGTCCAAGATCATCCTCTCCATCGTCGATCGTCGTCGACCACCACCGACCGTCATCGATTGTAATCAACTACCATCGATCGCCGTCGATCTCCGTCAACCACCGCTTACTAGACGTCTCAATCGACGTTGTAAAGTGAAAAGCTAGTAACCATTTCCCGCCTGTGGGACAAGGGGCATATGTAATTATCAACTGATAGTGGATTTTTACAACTGGGTCAGACCCCGTGGTTTTTCCCTTTTTACGGGTTTTTCACGTAAAAACTTCTGATGTTATTATAGCTTGATTCATTTTCATCTGAGTGTGTGTTGAATTCTCGTGCAACGCTAAACGCTAAGACGATAATCCGTTACTCTACTGTTGCGAATTTTCTAACACGCATCAGTTTGGCGCCGTCTGTGGGAACGTTTCAATCTCACAACTAAAGTACTTACACGGTCTACTACATAGCAACTAGACACAATGTTCGTGATAATGGAGCATCCCGCTCCAACAGCCATCGTTTCAGGGAGCATTCACGAAGCCAAGGGCGACATGCTTCTTCGTCTTCCCGCCCTGGAAGACGCTATCCTACCAATGAAGGTGGTTCGGGTCCTTCAATAGAAGATCGAATGCGTAGAATGGAGGAGTCTCAACTAGAGATTCTACAGCTCCTACGCAGGGCTCAACAACCGCTGCCTACATCATTGGATGAAATTCGTTTACCATTAACTCCGCAACGTACGAGAAACATACCGCTCGAGGAACTCATGTCGGCCCGCCTCCTCAGGAAGGAACACATCCCCTGTCAGGTCGTGATGTTGAACTCCTAGATACAGCAAGCTCCACTCATCCATCTCGTGCAGCTCACCCGACATCGCCACATCTTCCCGTCATTCCAGATAATGTCATTCGCAATGAACTACGACGCCTCGTCCGGGAAGAGTTCCCCTTAGAGAAAAAGGATCGCTTCTACGCTCACCGTAACATCCATGAATCTTCTCCCTTAGCGAATGCGGTCCTCCAACACCCCATCTCAACAGGCTTTAAGCTTCCGAGCATCGATACATATGAAGGGACAACCGACCCTTACGAGCATATTGATCATTATCGAACTATCATGCACATTCAGTGTGCTTCTGATGTGCTTTTGTGTCAAGTGTTTCCGACTACTCTTAAAGGAGAGTAAATACATCAAGGCAGCAACATGGGGGTCACCCAGTCGTAGGAGAAATTCAAATAATTATTGGAGGCCCATCGATGATTGATCAAGTCCTTGTCACTGTACCTGACGAACCAATGCAGAAGAAATTGCGCCTTGAGCCTATAACTTTTGATGATTCTGATTTGGAAGGAGTTTGAGTCCCCCATCAAAATCCTTTAGTCATTAGCGCGGGAATTGGCGAGCCCTGCTATAACGTAAAGAGGATCCTGATCGACAATGAGAGCTCTGTTGATGTCTTGTTCTATTCAACTTTCCTCAGCTTGGGATTGACAAGGGAGATACTTCAACATGCATCCGGACCATTATATGGTTTTGATAATCGACTAGTGAGGGTCGAGGGAACAATAAATTTTTCAGTTGTCTTGGGAGATTTTCCTCGACAGATAACCCACTCAATCCAATTCATCGTTGTCAAATCAGAATCGGCGTATAATGCTATCTTCGGGAGACCATTGCAATCAATTTTTGGCGTCGTGACTTCTGTAACACACTTAAAGATCAAATTTCCAACCCCGACAGGGATCGGTGTCGTGCGAGGTGATCAACAGATAGCACAATCATGCTACCTCAGACAAGCTCAGCCACACCCGTCAATGATACTTAGCATTGAGAACTTCGATCTTCGAGATGAAGATGTATCTCAACGGGCTTCTCCCGTAGAAGACTTGGTTCAAATCTCACTCTCTGACGAACATCCCTCGAGAACAGTTCAGCTTGGTTCCCTACTCTCTAATGAGAAAAGGTCGGAGTATGTAGATCTTCTCTGAAAGAACCAAAACATTTTTGCATGGACTCCAGCCGACATGTCTGGAGTTGACCCAGAAATAATCATGCACTCTTTAAAGGTAGACCCGACCTTTAAACCAGTCATTCAGAAGAAGCGCAATTTTGCCCCAGATCGCTTACAAGTTATTGAACAAGAAGTTAACAAGCTTCTCGAAGCAAAGTTTATACGGGAAGTACACCATCCTGCATGGTTGACCAATGTCGTCATGGTAAAAAAAACTAACGGTTCATGGAGAATGTGCGCCGACTATACAGACCTCAACAAAGCTTGCCCGAAGGATATTTTTTCCCTCCCACACATAGATCAACTCGTCGATGCCACGTCTGGACATCAAATGTTAAGCTTTATGGATGCATACTCAGGATACAATCAAATAAAGATGAACCCAATGGACAAGGATGCCACCTCTTTTCAAACAGATAAGGGCTTATACTATTTTCAGGTTATGTCATTCGGGTTAAAAAATGTTGGTGCAACTTATCAACGACTCATGAATAAGGTCTTCAAAAACCTTCTCGGACATAAAATGGAGGTTTATGTTGATGACATGTTAGTAAAAAGCTTGGAAGCATCCCAACACATTTCTCATCTGGAGGAGTGTTTTCAACTCCTTCGTCAGTATGACTTACGACTTAACCCGACTAAATGTGCTTTCGGGGTCACATCAGGGAAGTTTCTGGGATTTATGGTTACCCATCGTGGGATTGAAGCAAACCCAGAAAAAATCAAGGCGTTGAAAGAGATGGTGCCTCCAAGGAACATCAAGGAGGTGCAACGATTGAATGGTCGTATAGCCGCCCTATCCCGGTTCTTAGATCGTTCTGGAGATAACTATATGTCGTTCTTCAAAATACTAAGAGGAGCACGGAACACTGATTTTCAATGGACAGATGACTGTCAGATTGCTTTTGAACAACTTAAGACATATCTAACTTCACCGTTCCTTCTCTCAAAACCCATCCAAGGGGAAATATTATTTGGGGAAATATTATTTATTATTTATCTATTTAGCTATTTCACCTCATGCAATAAGCTCTGTTCTAGTCAGAATAGAAAACACAATCGAGAAACCAGTATATTACGTCAGTAAAGATCTCTCTGATATAGAAAGTCGCTATCCGATGGCGGACAAGACTGCACTAGCCCTGGTATTCTGTACAAGGAGACATCGTCCTTACTTCCAGGCTCACACTATTAACGTTTACATGCAACTCTCTTTGAAGACAATCCTACAAAAACCAGAAGCATCAGGAAGATTAGTTAAATGGTCAGTAGAATTGGGGTAGAATTGGGATGGGAGAATTTGACATCCATTATTTACCGCGACCAAACATCAAATCACAGGTGTTGGCCGACTTTGTGGTATAATGTACAGTACTTATCGCTGATGAACCACCATCTTCTCTTCCACGGTCACCTCAGTGGACACTATATGTAGACGGAGCGTCTGGAAACTCGAGAGCTGGTGCAGGAATACTACTCATCTCCCAAAAAATTCCCAGCCACCAATAATGTTGTTGAATATGAAGCGCTCGTCGCCGGATTAAATCTTCTCATCAACTGCAAAGTACGAAATATGATTATATACACTGATTCGCAACTTATTGCATCCCAAGTAGAAGGAGAATTTGACGCTCATAACTTATAACTATTGCAGTATCTCGGTCTGGTAAAAACACTTCTCGCCCAAATTGAAACATGTCAGCTCATTCATATACTTTGGGAGCATAACACTCGAGCTGACGCCCTCGCCAAACTTGTGACTTCAACACCTGGAGATCTCTATAAAAGAAAGTATATTGAGGAGATACATTTTCCTAGCATTCATGACACATGGGAGATACTGTCTATAGATGACCCAAGGGTGCCATCTTGGATGGATCCCGTCATCTCTTTCCTCCAAGATGGAACACTGTCAGATGATGTTACTACATCAATTCGCATCCGACACATGACTGCCAACTTCATCCTTATAGGGGATGAACTGTATAAGAAGGCATTTGTAGGTCCGTATCTCAAGTGTCTTCCTCCATCTGAAGCTGATTATGCTCTACAAGAAGTTCATTCCAGAATATGTAGGGAGCATCTTGGTGGCAAGGCACTTGCTCTTAAAACAATGAGGCAAGACTTCTACTGGCCCACGATCAAACAAGTTGCATTAGAGTTCGTGCAAAAATGCAAAAATTGTCAACTACACTCCAATCTTACACATGCACCGCCAGTGAAACTCATTTCTTTTCTAAGTCCTTGGTCTTTCACTCAATGGGGGGTAGATATCATGGGGTCATTTCTG